AATGGGTGGTAAACATGAGAAGAGAAGATATCATGAAGAACTCAACAGACTATCTTCATGTCAACATCGGCCAACTGGGCTCTTTGAGGAGTGAGTATCAGATAGGTAGATGAGAAATTAGCGTTCTTTATCGTTGATCTCTGCCTAACCTAATGTTCTTCTTGTCTTAGATTAGGCGGCATGCGCGCGATCCGGCCAATCGATGTCGATACGAGTGTTTGGAATTCAGATGAGTGAGGATTGGATTACTATACCGTGTCCACGCGATCACAATCGATGTCTATTTGAGTGTTTTGAATCACCTGTGATTTCGAAATGAATATCATGATGCCATGCGTCACATGTGTTTGTGGATTACACGTAAATACAGAATGACATGCAATGAGTGGAACGATGTTTGAACTAACAGAACTATGGGAGCAGAACTATGGGATTGTGAACTATGGGACTCACGGGTTGTGAGTCACAACAGCTCGCCGTCACAACTTGTGACGGCGAGCTGCGACGGCCTACTGGTGACCGTCCGAGTGTGTGAAAAGCGGCGCCTGGGGACGCCTGCCCAACCCCGTTGCACTGTCACCGCGGGGAGACAAGCTACTAAAGCCCGGTTGGTAAGTGGTATTGGACGTGCGGTGAGTATATGTTACATATTTCCATCGAAATAGTTACCGGGTCACCGCCGATCAGCGTATTCCTGCGGGCGAGCCAGCCGCCGGCCGAGCACATTCCTGTATGTCGATATTCTCGCCGCTAGATGGCAGGCGCGCACCAATGTCGCGGCTGGTAATGGCGCACGCGGGGAGTTTCCAATCCATATATAGTTATCCATGGGGTAAGTGTGAGGTTCTATTGGGGAAGGGGAGTGTAGAGAAAAGCACGATAGCTTCTATAAAGCTTGCATGAAGGCATGTGACTTGTTCCAGAATTTCAGACTATATAAGTATACGAATGAAAAAAAAATGAAAAAAACTGTTGTTCCTCACAAAGAGTGAATTAGGCAATAAATCACCTCTGAATGAAAAAAAAAACTTTGGATGCGTACCGCGTTTCTGGCCTTCTGCGCCAGCCCGGTGATGACAGCGGTGGTGGTGGCGTTGTTGCTGCTGCTCTCCCTCTCCGCCAGCCGGAGTGCCGTGTCGTACCACTGTACCGCTCTCCAGTACATGCCCTGCTGGAACGAGCTCTTCCCCATGTACAGACAGTCGTGCGCAGTCAGGGCTGTAAATAAAGATGGAGAGAAAGGGTTACTACTTGGAACGGAAGGAACAGCTGCTTAGTCGAGATAGAGGCTGCCTTTGCAGTGATATTCCGTAGCATGACCTGCCGTATTGACGATTAGGTATATGCCTGACGCAATGCCCATTGCTGTGAAAGGCTGACCTGCCGGTATTCTGCAGCTAGCTAGTTACAGCCATAGCCCATAGCCTTGCTACAGCCTATCGCATTTCTCTTTCACATGAAGCAGAATACAACTAGTCACCCGTTCAGAGCAGCCACACTGTTTGCGATGGCCTGAAAGATATAATCGAAGATTACCGACGACAGTGTTGGTACGGCAGCTTAGATTTCGCATTGTTCCCTCCTTGGACCACCCGTCACCGCACCATGTCACTCACTGGCGGCCGTCTGAACGCCGAGCATCTCCCCCTCTGCCAGTCGGTCCAGGTCCAGGTCATAGGTGTCGTGCAGTCGCACCAACGCCTTGGCCATACCCTCCAGGTCAGTCACCTTGGGCAGCCGCGCGCCGAGCTTCAGCGCGTCAATCTGCTGCGCCACGTCTGGCGATGACAAGTGGAAAGTTAGTCAGTGGGCTTATGAAAAATAGTATGTGACATTGGTTTGTAACAAGAGATTTGCTACAGCACTGCTAATGAAGATCAATCAGACTTCCACACTATCTGCCCACGATAAGTTAAGCAAAATCTTGATTGTGTCGTTTGAAAAAAAAATACAAATTACGATATGCAAAAAGCGTAGAAAAGTTATTGACAACAGTAAAATGTCAGATATCCCTTAGTACTCTAAACGCATAAAAAATCAGTTCAACACTATACTAAACGCCCAATTGAGCAGGGCCGTATATGTAAATTATGGCGACAAAAGCCGTTTGCGCCGCGGACTTTTCCGTCTTCTTACCTGACCACTGATCCTTGCGCATAATGTTCTGAATCTGTCTCCAGTCGGAGACGAACCTCTTGGTGAGGTGGAACGCGTGCACAGGGTTACCGGCCACCATCTCCAGAAAATTGTCCCCCTCGTGCTGGTACAGGTCACTCTCAACTTCGCTGTACTGGTCCAGATAGCTGAAAATGAGAGAGCAAAATAATATGAGGTCTGAGTAAGTAAGCTTGGGTACACAGGAACATGGTAAGGTTGAGTAAGACAGGAAATAAAAGCGCATGGAAAAGAAAGAGCATGTGTCAGCCATCCCCAATCTGTGCGCCTCGGAAGTTCATCGCACCAATTTGTTCAGTGCAGCACCGTTGAACGCATTAGATCCAGGCCCTGAGCCATTCAGCCGGCTTTACGGAGCGTGTCGCTCCGTCTCGCCATGTGAGGCAGTGAATTAGAGTGATGGAGTATAGCGGTGGTCGGGGAGCGAGACGGATTGGTCGTCGCTCCTGGGTGAGCGTCGGGCGGGTTGGACAGACCATTACATCGCGGCCTGGAGATCCTGATACATCATCGCATCGTAGCAGCAAAGCGTAGACACTGTGACGCACCATCGCACACCAGATCATGAAAACTGTGACAAATCATCGCATCACAACGACTGGAGACTGCAGCTGCCTTCCGCACAGTATCACTAGCCTGGAGACTGACATACCATCACAGCATAATACCAAAGCCTGGAGACTTTGAGAAACGATCGCAGCACAGGAGGCTGCGACGTGCCATCACACCGTAACACCACAGAGAGGTGTTCTGGTGTACAACGAACCATCGACCCATCGCACGATAGCGCCGAAGATAAAGGACTGCGACGTGCTATCGCAACATAACACCAGCCTGGAGACTGCAACGTCTCATAGCAACATAATACCAGCCTGGAGACTGCAACGACTCATAGCAACATAACACCAGCTTGGAGACTGCAATGTCATAGCAGTATAACAACGGGATGGAGACTGCGGAGTCCCGTAGCAATATAACACCTACCTAGAGACTGCAGTTTGCCGTGGCAAGATAACACCAGACTAGAAACTGCAACGTGCTATAGCAGCATAACACCAGGTTGGAGACTGTAACTTGCCGTGGCAACATGACACCAGTCTAAGGACTGCAGCGTCCCATAGCAGCATAGCACCAGTCTGGAGACTGCAACGCCTCATAACAACATAACACCAGCCTGGAGACTGCAATGTGTCATCGCACCATAACAACGAGATGGAGACTGCAACCATAACCATCGCACCTCAACACAAACTGAAGATTGCGAACCACCATCGCAGGATAGCACCAAGGACACTACGCACCAAACACTAGCCCGAATAAGCTTTCTACGCTTTCTACAGAGCCTTTGATCATGAACTTCACATTTCAGCGCACAGCTTTCACCGATAAGTAGTCATGCCCTTCATGCAATAGGTGTGATCCACCCTAGTAACGGTCACTCGATTAGCCTGCTACATGTTTTCCCACAGTCCTCAACACCCGCGCGCTTATACCCTGTGACAATCATTCAGCTTTCGAAACTCGAAAGGTAGTTTGAAAGGAATGAATACCGACTGTTCGTGAGGCCTATGAGAGCCGCTTACCATTATCGACAGCCGGGTGAAACGAATTGGCTAGCTGCCATTATCTCTGCAACATTCCCACCATTTCTGGTGCATTATCCACGACTCACGTAGCAAGTGGCATGCGAGTTCCATATTGTAATATTTCCAGTTAGGCTCCGATTGAGCAAAACATTCGCGCACAGGGACGAACATTTGACTTGTTCGTACCTGTAAACGGCATATGTAGGTGCTAAAAATACGGTAATTATACTCAGCGCCCACCAAGAAGATGGACGAAGACCGGCATAACGGACTCTACGGATTCGTCACATCTCCGCTTCGCTGCATTTCCCATCGTTATGCGGATCTCTAAAACCCCAAACGCAACGTTCGACGCAGTGTTCAAAGCACAAAATCCATGATGCAAGCGGTCAAACTCCGCAGAGTTCGCGCCATATCGCGGCGCGCGCGTCTGGGCGGCCTGCGCGCGACTGAGGTGCACCGCTAACTGACGCGACCTAAGATAACCGCTACCCGGCGCCATGTGTTGGACGGTTGGGATGAGAGGCACGCCAGGTGCACCGACCAAACGGTGCTCTCCCAGAGCAGGAGACAGGAGAGATGATGCCTGGGATCAGATTTGAGATGAGATGGTTCAGGCCCGTGGACGGAGAGGTTTAGATGAAAGAATGGGAAAAAGATGAGAAGGGAGAGATTGTCGGTCATGGAAGGAGTGATGCCGAGGAGAAAGAGAGGGTTAGATGAGGTATTGAGGTAGTTACGAAATAAACAAGAAAATCACGGCTATCCAACGAGCTCGGATTGAGAACACTGAGCATGGAGACACATAAGTGTTATGTCATTGTCATCTTGAATGAATTAAATGTGTGCTTAGGCTCTCACAAGACCTCAGTGGCCACCTACCTCCTGAGTTTGGCGAGTTTCCGCTCCGTCCTGTCGATGAAGTTGCTGAGAAGCGGCACAACGTTCCGCTCCAGTGCGAACGCTGTCTGCAGTTCCGTGGAACCAGTGATGAGTTCTAGTCGAGCTGGTGCGGCTATCACCAGCATCAGAGTCACCAGAGACGACGAGAACTCTCCGACTGGCGACATTCCTGAAAAAATATCGGCTAGTTAGGCACATGGAGAGTGCAGCTCCATTAATATTGTTTTCAGACATTAAGGCTATAGACTATAGAGCCTTAGAGATAAATTTCTGAGTAAGTAAGCTTTCATGCGATGAATCAAAAGGTATTCATCTGACATCTGGTGAAAGTTTCGAGAATCAAGAAAGCGAATGCGTGTACATGAATTGGGACACAAAGGCTCACTATTGGCGTATTCTGAAGGTAGGTTCATGTTGTTTTAAAGCATTCAGTTGTCAGAAATTTCTCTTCGCATCAGGTTTAATTTACGGAAAATACGCCAGACGGCAATATATCACAATACAATTACTAGAAATATCATGCACGACACCGAAAAGTAAACAAAGGTTTCGTGATTCATTCACGGTTCTACCGCACCATAGACGCTTACACCGCTAGCCCCAAAGTCTCTTTTACCTCTTGGCCTGGATTGTCATTCATGGCTCGATAGCCATTCATGGCAGCCTGATGGATTGCTTTTTGCTCGATGACGCGTGATGGAAATCGTGACGTATGGGTGACCAAAGGGTACGTATAGCTGTCGCATCGACTACTCGGTCTTGTCCTATTGACCCATAATTCATAAATAGCAGGATGAGTGCTGACTAAGTTAGCGGTTTAGACGTTATATTGGTTAACCGAACTGTCATTGAAGACGCATTCACGGAATGTAGCGCATTTAACCGTTTCTTCGAATTTAGAAAATAAAACAGCAATCTTATCGTGTCACCCTTTGACCGGCTATCGCAAACCTACGCAGTACCTATCCTACCTATCAAACCATGCATTCATAACCGTTAGACGGTGCCGATGACGACAGACATATAGCGAGCGGCACGAGGCACGTGCGAGTGCCGCTGAGCCATCAGTCGCGGAGGCAGGAGCCGTGAACCGTGACCGAGCACCGCTCGACGATCCGCACCCGCCGGGCGTTCAACCGCGCCGGGCGTGCTGCAGTGCAACATGGCAGGGACGCCGCCGAGACCGGCTAACGGGCACCGGCCCCGAGCGATCGCACCCGAGCGATCGCACCCGAGTTCATCTCAGCTGTCGTAAATTACCGGCCGGCACCCGGGCGACCGATAGCCGGGGGATGCAGCCGAGCGACCCCTATAGCCTCCTCCCTTCTCCCCAACGAACGACCAGCACCTGAGCGACTGGGTTCCGGGAGATGCACCCAAGCGACCGAGTCACCCGGGAGATGCAAATGAGCGACCCAAGCTACCCTAAACGAGCGACCTCAGCCGGGTGAACCATACCTGAACATCCCCAGCTACCCCAAACAAACGACTGGCACTCGAGTGACCTGCACACCTGAGCGATCTGGACTTCTGGCACCTGAGTGACCACTGCCGAGCCGGCGCGATTCTCCCTTGATACGAGGCTGTTCTGACAGATTTCTCTATAGGGTCATCAATGCGACAGTCCCAAGCTCGGATAGTTCGGTAGCGTCCCTGCAGAGGTGGCTGACAGCAATCTAAACAACAACCACATGACATCAACCATAGACCCCTGTTGTACACCGTGGTATACAAAGGTCCATGTATCAGACCTCGTGAACGGCGACGGGGTCGTTTTATCCCATTGGATAAAACTGCAGTTTTCCCGTGATGGGCGGATCGATAATCGATATAACAAATGGAGACTTTTCAAATGACTAGTTGCTTTGTGACTGTGACTGTGGAATGACTAATGTTGCTTTGGAAATCCTGGTGTTCCATCAATTCCACCCATGCACTTTTCCCTTTTCCTACGCTATTCCTATGTCATTCCTACGCTATATGACATTATACAATGTCATTGTTTTCGGTCCAAAAGAGGTTTATTAATTAAACATTGTTAGGTATCACATGTCTTAGACTACAGAGTAATACTACAATAGGCATAATCATCATCAGCTATCAATTTGACACTTGACTGATTCGGTCAAGTTTGGTGCGTTCGCCAGACAACTCGTCGTGGAAAAGGCTTCTCATTCGGTTAAACGCCACATGACTGCCTTTTGATTACACACTCTTACCTGTCTCCCTAGTCGTAAGGTCAGCGACGCCCGGTGTGGATCCTGTCCCTGTAGCGCCTGTTGCCAGTGCTTGGCCTCAGCTCCACCACACCGTGCCTCCTACCTCAGCGCGTGGCGGTCGACTGAGTTGGAACGGACCTGGCGGCTGGCGCTCAGAGGTCTATACCGTCTATGTAGGAATAGGTGCGGAGCTGGAGAACAGGCTGGCCGGGGAACGGGGAACGGGTCGGAAGGGGAACGAGCCTGGAAGGGGAACGGACACGGTGGGGAGCGGGAAAAGGGTCAAGCTGGAAACGGAGAAGTAACAAGCCGGGAAATGGGCTCGTTGGCGAACGAGGAACGGGCTTGCTGGGGAACGGGGAATGGGCATGGCGGGGAACGGACTCGATGGGGAACGGACCCGGCGGGGAATGGGGAACGGGGACAGCGGGAACAAGCTCAAAGGGAAGGCTACGGTCATAGCGCACCGTAGCCTTCCCTTCGGACCTGTTCCTGTCGTCCCGTCCCCGTTCCCCATTTATTATACCTAGTGCCGTCGCCGTGGTCTATTAAACGGACGAGAATAGCGAGAACTAGAATTTGACTGAAGGATTATGAGCATGGAAGAAGCTCAGAGAATGCCTGAGCAGTTGGACATGTGGTGAGCTGAGAAGGGAGGTATGGAGGCGAGAGGGCAGAAGCTGAGTTGCTGAGAAACTGTGGCAGTGAGGCTGAATAAGAAGTGGACGCGACAAGGAATCTTTATGGTGCTCGACGCTCGATTCATGAGTGTTGATGAATGCCTTCTAAATTCTTACACCCGGATATCTGCTTTCTTATCTGCCACAAGTCACAGAACAGAGAAGAAGGAAGAGCAAGAGAATGGTGACTTTAAATTTTTATAATTAAATTTATTTTAGTTCTTTGTAAAGTTCATTTTGCCTTTTGATGAGCTTGTATTTTTATGAAACCAGCAAGCTCTACAATTTAGTAGCTGATTTTTACCAGAATTATGCGACATTTCTGGCGCAGTAGTTTCAATCTGCAGTTTGAAGTTCAAATGTTTGTAAACTGAAAAGTTCAATGTAAAAATCTTAAAAATAGGCGGTCTTTATGTGACTTAGGTACTTGTTCATGGTTCTTTTTATTTGATAAGACATATTAGTCCTATTTTCGTATTCTTCCTTTGATTTCAGGTATGCAAGTTTCTCTAAAGCTGAAGCTGCTGCGCAGGGTTTCGCAGGGTTTTGGTTTGGTTTGGCTATTCCAATTCCAATTTTCATTTCAATTTCTCAGTTCAATTTTGATTCAGTTTGGCACCGTTTTACCCGTTTTACCTCATTATTTCAAACGTATTTGTTCATCGATGTTCCTGTTTCCATCAAAGTATAAGGTTGCATTGATTGATGATGGCTCTCGTTTTTATGTTTGACCATTTTCACATTTTCTGATTTTCCTCATTCTGCGAGCATTGAGTTCTGTCTAAGGCTATATTTTTGCCTCTAAGTGGTCTGAGCTGTTTGGGCAATATGCACCAAATTATAAATCATCTATATATCTCCAACAGGAAAGCCAAAACAAAGAAAAGCATCAAAGCACACTGCGCAGCAAGCATGAAAAGCTTAGCTTGCTGTGGTGGATTCTGCTTTTTTTTGCAGGATTTTATTTGCTGTATTTTTCAATCATATCCTATGTTTCTATAGAATGTTTGCTAAGAGGCTCATTTGAACTTTATTTTCTATGGCGTACTGTTGCATTATTGTTATAAGCATTTTGAATAGGTATGTACAATGTAACAATTATGGCTATGTCCAGTCATTCCCCAATATGCATCTTTTTCTTCATCAATAACACCAGCTCCATCAGAAACAAAACAAAAGTGTTTGGAATCCTGAACTTTATTTTTGTTCCAAAATCCAGCTTATCTTTTTGGAGGGATATCGGTCAACAAGATGTGAGACTTGAGAGTGACAGTGTAATGTTTGCTAAATGCATTCAGGATGAGATTAAATGTATGACACAAATCAAAATCTTATTAAAAAATGAAATAAAGCACAAATCCATGGGATTTCATGCTAGTGTGGCTAAGGGTTAAGGAGGTGCTGACAGTGACACTGTATTCATACTCAATTTACTGTGTTCCCCTGACATCACATATTCAACTTCTCTGGCATTAAATATGTTGAGTACTTCCCTGATGTGTCTGACTGAAATTATCCTTGTGTAGTTACTCATTAGTCAATGCAGTGTGAAAGTTTATGGGGAGATGCTGTGGTACTGGTGCAGGGTGCTGTGATCAGACATGTGCACGGATCCCAGACAATCAATCACGGAAATCGAGATGGCCATTAGATTGACGGTCTTCAAGCATGAAATTATGGCGGAAAACATGGCTCATACAAGCCTCTCAATGAACCAACTATTTTGCATTCCTTCAGGGTTAACAGTTCTGAGAAAATCCCTCAAGATCCATCTCAGATCCATGATTCGTGACCATGGATCCGAGATGGATCTTGAGGGATTTTCTCAAAACTGTGAACTCTGAGGGATTGCAAAATAGTTGGTTCGTTGAGAGGCATCTATTAGCCATGTTTTCCACCATAATTCCATGCTTAAAGACCACTAATCTAGTGGTCATCTTGATTTTCGTGTTTGGTCGTCTGGGATCCGTGCCCATGTCTGGCTGTGATTATAACTGCCCGGCCGTTCTTTTTCTTTTAGCTTTACTTAAGTTTTATTGCTGATTGCTGGTTAGCTGAATATTGGTATCTATATACTTATATTTTATGAAAATCAATTATGCATGTTTTATTTTCAGATTGTACCTTGCGTGATGCAAGATTGTTCTCAGAAGGCAGAACATAGCAGCAATGCACCTCAGGAGAGCTCATCACCTCAGGTGGGTGCTATCTCGGTGTAGCTAGATCTACTGTCTCGCTGTTGGCACACAGTCTCATCCCACTCAGCCGCCATGGGACGCTGGCACTCGGAGTACCAACGCACACACCGCGGCATCGCCTCCAACGAGCTCCTCACCACATGGAGGGACAACTTCACCGAGCGGCAGCACCTGCGGGAGACCATGATGTCATCCCATTTCCAGCTGGGCGTCAGCGGCGGCAGCAGCAGCAGTAGCAGCACGGAGTCGCTCTCGGGGGAGCTGCAGCTGTCTCCGACGCGTCTGAGGATGCGGCATCTGGCTCTGACCTCCCCGGAGCGCGTACCGCCGCCAGCGCCCCCTGCCCCACCTGCCGCCAATGGAGGGCGCTCGGTGCGGTTTGAGGTGCCCCCGGTGACCGACCGGCTAGACGGAGCACCCCCAGCGGAGGAGCCTGCCATCCAGTCACGATCTGCACCGCCCCCGGCTGAGACTGAGCCTGTGCGACTGCCTGAACCCCCGGCTCCGACCAGTACCACCGCGGACCGGTCCCGTCCACTGACTGCGCCAGCGCCCCGCGTGCCCAGCTCAGCCCCTGCGCCAGCGCCCCGCGCGCCCAGTTCAGCCCCTGCGTCAGCGCCCCGCGCGCCCAGCTCAGCCCTTGCGTCAGCACCAAGCTCAGCCCCTGCGTCAGCGCCCCGCGTGCCCAGCTCAGCCCCTGCGTCAGCGCCCCGCGTGCCCAGCTCGGCCACTACGACCGGCCCCCGCCGCCAGCGGGCCCGCTCCTGTTCTCCGGCCTCACCACTGCTCGGGTACGGTCACGGTGAACGCGGCTGTAACCTCGGCGAACAGCGCACGTATAACGTGACCGCGCCGCCGACTCAGGTACACGACACAGCGCGTTCGGCCGCCGAGCGGCGAAGAACGGCGCAGAGACAGCGAGACGCGGTGCGGGATGCTGTGTTGGATCACGGTCGCCCTCCGCCAAGACCGGCTAGTCTGTGGACTACCGAGTACCAGAGGTGTTACTGCCAGCCTGTGTGGGCAGCGGAGCGGGCGCGGGCTCACAGGGCGTCCTCTTCTCACGCGCGGTAGCCACTGGGGTGGTCGGGTCATGAGTGGATAGAACAATGTCGCGAGATGTGAGGGCTCGTAGATGGCGGAGCAAAGCGATTGGAGATATTTTGCGCTGCAGATCCTCACCGAGATCTGCTAGTGTCTATCAGTTTACTAATTTTAGTTATTTTATCCGTGGGGAGATACATTCAAATGTAGCAAACTGTTTTCTAGCTGTGCTTTTTTTAAACAGCTTTTTGAAATTATGCATCCCTAGACATAGGTGCTCTGGCGCAGTATAGTTTCATTGCACTCTAGATTTAGGAGCGTGATCCTTTTACGGGACCAGAGAATTAGCTGAATAACAACATTTTATGAGTAGCGATGTTATGGGATAATGTGCCCTAATGTGTATTTTAACGATGTATGCAGGGGCGTCGCCGACGGGGGGGTCGGGGGGGTCGTGACCCCCCCACTCTTGAAAACTGGGGGTGTCGACCCCCCCACTTTTTGCGATGCTGAGTATGCTTTTTTAGCTTTTATGTCAGTGAAGCAGGCGTCAGCAACACCAACAAATACATCAGATTCAAAATCGCTTCAAGAGCTCCCTAAAGCCAATTAGCCAATTACCTAAAGGTCAATTAGCTGTGGGCGGGGAACACCAGCACAACAATGTTTTTAAGTAGCCCCCATCCTAGTATACCTTTTTATCCCTCAAAGGATTGGACGCGCCAAAACTGCCCCGAGCGTTCGTCTGATCGTTTAAAAAAAAAAAATGGTCGCAGTCGATTCGTCGGATCAGTACCTAACTACAAAACTACAAACTAACCTCAGCCCCATGGCTACCGTCACAACTAGCTGTACAGTGCACATGTAGGGGAAAGGGAGTCAGATGGAACCGTCTCGGGCTTTCGCAAAGAAGTCGCGCAAAAAGGAGCCGATTGCAACAAAACTTCCGGTGCGCTCGAGTTAATCACCTACTTAAAATAAATCGATATCCCTGATTCAAATAAAGATGACCTTAGTTCACTTTTTCATAACATGCTTTTAATTGATAGGGTAGTTTTTGGAGCTGATTTTGAACTTAGCGCCCATCTGAACATTTAAGAAGTAGTTGTGTTGCTTATTCATATAACATGCTAGGAAGCAATCGGTGGTGGTCATCCACTATTAGGTACTGGTCGTTCTGACCTGACCTGATCTACCCCAAATGCATGGAGTCATCATCTTCGTTCAAAACTAAGATAACATTCGTAATCAGAACCTCGAAAAACCATCACAACTTACATTCGTTAAGTTCTAGCAGGTCCCGAGTTTCTCTACTTATTGGCGATGACCTGAGTCCTGAGATGACCCGAAAACTTGTAAATGGGTACCATCGGCTTTCTCTCGTCACGGGCAGCATGCTCTTTTTTCTGCAAACCTGTAGATCGATCAGGGGTCGAAAGCATGCCTCAGCGTTAGTTTAGTATACGTTAAATACGTTAGCGACTGGGAAACCACCAATAGAAGGGCTACAGTGAAGCAGAAAACTATTCGATAGCTCTTTTAACGCTCTTTCGCTAGCTTCGCGTTAGATTTCATCTCAGGTCTATGTTTGGCCCATAAGAAGGCAAACAGCTAACTGGACAGATTCTGCCGAAACATCTCATGCTTTGCAATAACTTTCGATTCCGTGAATTTGTATGGTATGTACGTATGTTGTCTTGTCACCACCGTCTTGATCTCTTTGAGACGCGTCACATGAGTTAAAATTTGACCATTCAGAATTAACGTTAAAACGACCTCAGGTCAACGTTATGTCCTGATCGAAAAAGGACCTCCTGCTGCATATGAATGGATCCGTGTTGTTGAGCTGAACAGTGAACACCTTCCAGGTGCTGTCATCGCTCTACCGCGTCTTCGTCAAAAGTTGTAGAAAAAAATGCTGGTGGCCATCGATGGACATTTCCACTAATGACCTTTCGAGTCATCACTCGCCATAAGTTGCACCCTGTCCCTGGCAATGAATGAGCTGATTTGTCATGGCTCCAAAGATATTTTGCGTTTCTGACGAACTTTTTCAAAGCAGGAGGCATTCGTGCTTTTTCTAATTTCTCATTATTTTCTAATGATGAGGTCACGTATTTGACCTGCCTTCAGATCATAGATGTAAATCCTCAGTTAGAATCATGAATTGCTGACACGTATAACCCCATACATTAGGTACCTATACAGTGTACCAAATTTCGAAGTTATGGGAGAAAAGCTACAAGAATGGCGAGAGGGGAAACTCAGGACAGTTTTTATATAGAGGTATACCGTATAACTGAACTTGACATGGCGACCTGACCTTAAGTGACCAGTGATAATTTTTACGCAAGTGATGTAGGTAGGTATACCTACCTAATAGGTTATACCAAATTTGGCGGCGCTGCGCGCCGATTTGTTACACACGCACACACACACATACGCACGCACAAAACTGGGAAGTGTGGCAAAAAAAAAACACCCCTACCCATCGGGTGAAGACTAGAAACCCGACCCCCCCACTCAAAAATCCGTGGCGACGCCCCTGGATGTATGATGTAGTTGTTGCGCTGTTAGAGCTTTTTGGGAATGTTCACTTCATTCATGTATCGTCACCTGATGACCTCCATAACAATGGATATAGATAACATGCTGTTATCTATGTGATTTAGCATGCTACATTCACGGCTAACGAAATGTTGCTTGTTAACTATTTGGACAATCATCTAAAGTTCATGTGCATCGATCACTAAGCATAGAAAAGTTCATGTCGGTTGATGATATCGTAACTAATGCATTACATACTGATCACAAGTGTTAGGTTTCACGCTCATCGAATCGTGCATTATTGTTCATTGGATGCAGGTTGTGCGCTAGATATGAGAACATTTCTTATTCTTGGCTGTTAATTGTTATTCATATTTTTGAATAGGACAATCATTCAACGTGTTTTACTATGAACATTCCATCTTTTCGACAATATTTGCATTATGTTAGGCTGCTGCGGTGCTGAGCTCATATGCCTTCACAGGAAATGCTATGATCGAGTGAATAATTTTCAGGGTTGTAGTTCCGCTTCGGGATGCGTTTTGCTTAATGCTTTGCATTATGCGAGGGTGAATGCACGTGTATTGCGCGTACAAGAACACTGGATACTGTGTGCACTTACAGGGTAGTTGTGTCACTCGTATCTAACTATCATGTACAGTGAGTGGTGAGATCATGCCAACGAGAAGGAAACAAGCACTTATACAATTAACCCGTCGACGTAAACATGCTCAGTAGCTGATCTTTTCTACACATTTTCAATAAAAAGATGACGGCAATGTGCGTATTGTCTATAGAAGCGTAATGTGTGAATTGTCCGAATCGAAGTACGCAATCGTACCCAATAGCTCCCTTGAAACGCAACGTAAAAAGACGATACCTATTTATTGGGTTTAACAAACAAGGAAGATGCTTATAGAAACAATCCCCGTACACCACTAATTACAGTTACACACATTCCCTTCGTTTCAAACCACAACAGCAATAACAGAACAACTTTTGCATTGTACTAGTGGTCTGAACACCTACACATCCCTTGCCTATTCGTATAAAACATCAATCCATCTTAAAAACGTAATTTCCACTCTTCGCTCAAGGTCCAGCTTTATCAAAGTCCAGTCATCAACTTCTGATAAAAAAGGTACGCATTGCAAAAGGATGGAAGTATTACATCACACCACGTGCCTCATAATAATAGGTAACTTTTTCTGGGATCAGTGACCCAGCATCCTGCAAAGCCCAGGAAAATGACCCCCTATAAAATACTGAAATATACCTCCATCCACACAGCGGAACAGCTGTTCTGTAGCGAGAAGGTACGCTGGGTCTGTAGCAAGTAGCAACTAGCAAGAAGGTACGCTGGGTGTGGAAACCTCAGCAATAATTGACTATGAACACACCAGAGTGTGTTCATGTTAAGTTGTAGAGTAAAAATAAACAACTTAACTCACTACCTCAAGCGTTCCAATGAGTATTGAGTATCGCACAGAGTATTCACATTCATTTCCTGATCACATCACGGCCCTTTTCACAGCTATCACAATAGCACGGGCAGATGCCAGTGTTTGTTTCCCAATGTGCGACGGCAACGTCAGACTGCAGAGAGCGCATGAACACAATTAACCAGGGCTGCGGAGTCGGAGTCGGAGTCGGAGTCGGTCGGAGTCGACAGTTGTGACCGGAGTCGGAGTCGGAGTCGATTTTAGAAACCCGAGCCGGAGTCGGAGTCACCGAAAATCTGTCGACTCCGTAGCCCTGCTAGGTCTGCGGAGTCGGAGTCGGGAGTTGGAGTCGGTCGGAGTCGACAATTCTGCCCGGAGTCGGAGTCGGAGTCGGAGCTGGTTTTTGAAAGCCGGAGTCGGAGTCGCCGAAAATCCATCGACTCCGCAGCCCTGCACTTAACACACTTAACATCTCACAGTTCATAAACGTTTCATGCTAGAATTGCTGGATTTTCCTCGAACCCGTGGGTGAAGGCACTGTTTTGTGTAGATGAGAATGGCTTATCGCTGTGTTTAGACCTCGCGACACGGTCTTCGGAAAGTCTGAGACAGCTCCCTGATGAACTTGTTGGCAACTGAAAACATAAGGCGTGTTAGTTGTCGGTCTAGTCGAAAATTCCCTACACCTTGTCCGTTAACATGTAATAACATGCATTCCTGGTGTACTCGTATACTGCATACAGTAAATTTATTTAATAATTGCACTTTCATTCAGTAAGCCTCACCACAGCCCCTTTGTTTATCTTGAGTTTGTATGTTTACGACCACTGCAACTTGCAATGCATCTGATAGGCATTTTTGTCCAATACACTCAAAAATATTTTACCTTGTTTTTTCTTTCTTTCGTAACATGTTTCTACTATTTATAGTCACCGTGATTTTAGCGATCTCATATTGCATAGGTAGATGCGTACACACTTACTCCACTTGTAGCCGTATGCCACTGGACAGCCCGAGTGTAGCGTGCGTTCGTCCGCGGTGCCGTCAGGGAGCACGTTGTCCCAGTAGACGGCCGAGCCCTGCTCTGGCTCTACTGAGACGCCCAGGTAGGGGAACACGGTCCGACCTCCGCGTAGCACGGGGTTCAGCTGGAACACAGGGGAGCTGTTAGCAGCGGGTTCAGCTGGAGCACAGGGGGGCTGTTACCACCGGGCTCAGCTGGAACACAGGGGCGCTGTTAGCACCGGATCTAACTGGAACACAGGGGCGCTGTTAACAGCGGGTTTATCTGGAATACTGGGGGGGGGGAGCACCGCATTTAGCTGGAACACAGGGAGGCTGTTAGCACCGGGCCTAGCTTATTCCCGAAGCACAGGTCAACATCAGGTATGGGCTGAGCTTGGACACTGGACTGCCCATGCCGTGAGCTAGGTTTGCGGTCCGCTGAGGCAGGAGGTGAGACAATCAGTATATGATTCTTCATAACCCCCCCCCCCCTCTCCACCCCACCCCAAACGCACACAACTTGGTAAATATTCACACAGGTAATACAAGTAGGTATGCTGCCACTTGACAGTATGTGAGGTCGTGTGTCCTGTTGAAAGTGGGTGTAGTACTTACGTAAAACATGATTGTTGCAATTCTCTCGCCCGTGATGTATGCATCGTCCTCATTGTCGATAAAGCTCTGTCGATAAAAGACGGCGTTTAGAGGAACAGGAACAGTTTCGATCGATTGGATTTATATTAATCTCCACTTAAAATAAATCTATTATCTCACTTTCATTCGTGACTTATGATATTTTTTGTTAAATCTACCCATAAAGTGTCATTCCTGGACTCGGTATTATTGGGCGAACGGTTACACATGTGACAGTTTTACATCGCGAGTTTCCCAGCTGACCTGCAGTATAGCCTCGTCTGCCAGGTTGAGGTAGTCGTGATGTGCCGAAAATTGACCACCCGTTCCATATTCGCACACCTGAAAGCAGAGAATCACACTTAAATGCAAATTAAATGCATCCTAACGTACAATCCATGGGCGCTTCAGGGGGCTGCCATTATTGTCAAATGCTCTGTGTGTATGTCTGGCTCGAGGCCGCCTGTATCTGTAAAACATGTCCCTCCAGCGCCGAAGCACGTACATACCTGCAGCATCTCCTGTTCGTATCCAGTTCGGTTGGTCACGTCCAGCCCTGTGGCCATCTCGATGCGCCGGTTGAGCGTCATCACCACCGGGTGATCGGTGTCCTCGAGCCGCGAGCTGCTGGACACGCGACCCGTCCAGCTGTCATGGCCGATACCCACCATCGAACGCTCCATCTGAGAGAGAGAGAGAGAGAGAGAGAGAGAGAGAGAGAGAGAGAGAGAGAGAGAGAGAGAGAGAGAGAGAGAGAGAGAGAGAGAGAGAGAGAGAGAGGGAGAGAGAGATGTGGAGTATTAGAATTTGGTTACACTGCGGTTCCGTCGTCTGGTGCATACGGTCATCACGTCCGACTTTGTGTGAATTTGTTTGATACTGCTGACTTTGCTGAGCTATGCGCTTAAGCTTTCATTTCTTGCCTTTTGTCTGATCAACATAGTGTGATGATAGTGACCTAAGACGAGTTGCATTTTTGTACTTGCATGTGGTCTAGCGGTGACTATTAGTTGGTCGATTTCGCTCTTGCGGAGAACGTCGTGATAAATGCACAGATACGGGTCGATGTTTTGCACTTCTGTCTTCAAGGGTTGCATGAAGAGGTAGGGATGAGGTCTCTCATACTTGCAGTACAGCTTGGAGAGTTGAGACGCATCCTAAAAAAAGATTAAGATTAATTGAGATGAATAGCTTACTGATGGACATCTTCACATTTTCTTGTTTGATAGCAGTTCTATATCATTTGAAAAATTTGAAAAATACCACGCCGCAACATGAAATATGCTCATAATTTTACGAAAGATAATCATTTCCAAGCTCATCCGGACGAGCTGTACGAGCTTTGACTCACCCTGAGCTCCGTACCGCGGCAGAGTTTGTTGATGGCCGCTGCCTTGTCTGCCAATGTGATGTGTTCCTCCAGCTCTCTCTGCATGGCCCTCGGGGAGCCATCCCCCACAGGGTAGGGGAACAGTTGCATGCCCGGAGTACCTCCCTGGCTCAGTCTCTTGTCGTGCTGAGGGGGAAGATGTAGTCAGGTCAAATCGTAAAATGGCGTCATGCTGATGTCAGTCAGTCGTATTTATACGGTAGTCATGCATAGTGCGTATAGATAAATCCACAATTTGGCTCACACATAACTGTATAATCAGATGCTTTGCAACTGAAAACTTTTAAATGGAATTCGATAGCATTACATCGCAAATAAAACTATTAAATTCGGATTCGAAGACAAACTGACATTAACTCCTCCCGGTTTAAAACGGATGGGTTTGCGAGGGTGGTACTACCCACACCATACAACATTATAGCGAAACGACTCTTTAGTGCCCTGAGCGAAACAACACTCGCAGCATGGCGCACGTCTTCCTACCTACCCTCTTTATCATATCCGTGTAACTGGGTCTGATGTCGTTCACCCAGTCAGTCAGGTTTCTGGCCATGGCCACCTGAAGAGCGCCCTCCAGCCAGACGAGGCACTTGTCCACGGCGTTGGAGGCACACATGACGCCAGCCAGCTTCAGCAGGTCGTCCACCGACATCTCTGTGAAATAAACTCATCAGCATCTGCAGCTTAGTCGAAATTTAGAATGAGCAATAGAACACTACGCCATTATCTGGGATATGTCGTATTGTTTCGTCTTATTGATTACTTGTTGAATTCTCTTCCGCTTTGTGGTGTTCTTATTGTGAGTAGCAGCTTATTTTGATTCTTTACCGATATCATTATCGACTAACGGTCCCCCGGAGTGTGGTGTCCCCGACACCGCGACTGCTGCTGTTCCTGCTAATGGTGTTGTCTTAGTGTGAAATGTTGCAGTCTCCCATCGAGTGCTACTGTTGTGTGTGCCAATGCAGTCTCCTGATCCTAGTGTTACTGTCGTGTCACTCGTGTGAGCCGCTGCAACTTCTTCCCTGAATACTACTGCCGTGTGCGGTACTGCCATACTCTTCTCTCACGTATGTTACTGTCGTGTGGACCAATGCGGTCTCCCGCTCCTAATATTATTGCCATGTGAGAAGTTGCAGTCTCTCCTGAGTGTTACTGTCGTGTGAGCCAATGCAGTCTCCCCTTTAGTGCTTCTGTCGTGTGAGCCAATGCAGTCTCCCCTTTAGTGCTTCTGTCGTGTGAGCCAATGCAGTCTCCCCAGCTCGAGTGTTAGGATGGGTGTGCGGCACTGCAGTCTCTCCACTTTGAGTTATTTTGTGAGCCGATGCAGTCACCACGACCTGAATGATGTCGTCGTTTATGGCGCTGCGCTCTCCAGCTACTGCTGTGAGAAATTGTCTCCGGTCTATCAAATGCATTCTTTCTGTGGCAATAGCAACACTCAGTAGCATCCCTGTCAATAACATTTCAGTATCCACCGCCGCCAGTGCCAGTATAAGTTAGTCTCCCCACCCTGTTCGACCCTCCGAACTCAAAACCCCACTCACTTGTGCCAGTATCGAGTCCCATGAGTCTGCCTTCGGCCAGATCGGTCACATCCAGATCATAGACGGACTGCACCTCCACCATTGCCCTGAGGGTCTCCAGCGCCTCCTCTGTGCCGGGCCGAGTGCCTGTCTCGGAGTTGGTGAACTCTTCAACGCGGCGCTGAACTGAGGTCAGAGTTTCTAGAAGGTCCGGTGTGTACAGCTCCTGAGGGGTAGAGGGTGGGGTAAGGGTTGATTCTTTCAGATTCTTAGCTTTCGAGGAAGCAGGGGCGGATCCAGGAAAACTCCAAGGGGAGGGTCATGAATCGAAGTGGTGCCCCTACCTATACCCAAAATTAAAAACTCAACGGATTTCGTCCACTTCATTTTGGTGGTGCCCCCATTTTCAGTTTTTTTATTCTTATTTTTTATTTTTAGTCAGTATCTTACCTCTAAGCCACAACCACATTTACCAATTGTAAGCAAGTATATATTAATGTGCTATGTGTATATATGTTGTGGACGCTGAGTAATGAGTACTTACCAGGAACGTTATCAGGTAAGCAAATCGTTGTCAGTCCGACGAACTTGACCCTGGCGTCTAAAGGGTCTGTCCTTGACACTTCAGGTTTGTCAGGGGCACCAAAGTCCTTCCAGGGACACCACAAACCTGTCAGGGGCACCTACGGCCTTGTAGGGGCGCCACAGGCCCGCCAGGGACACCACAGGCCTGCCAGGAAGCAGGGGCACCACAGGTCTAGCAAGTATACACGACAGGCCTGTCAGGGGCACAACGGGCCTGTTGGGCCCATGAGCACCCCTAGGGGCAGGGGCACCACAGTCCTTCCAGGGGCACCGCAGGCCTGTGAGGGGCACCAGCGGCCTAGCAGGGGCACCAGTCAACACAGGCCTGCCAGGGGCACCACAGACCTGCCAGGGGCACCAGAGGCCTGCCAGGAGCACCACTGACCTCGCAGGGGTAACTTGGGCTTGTCAGGGCCCAGGGGCACCACGGGCCTGTCGAGAGGCACTTCAGGCTTTTCAGGGGCACCATAGTCCTCTCAGGGCGCAGGGGTAGCAGGGGCACCAGAGGCCTGCCAGGGGCACTACAGGCCTAGCAAGGGCACCACTGGTCTATCAGGGGCACCACGAGCCTGTCATAGCCAGGCATCTCAGGCTTGTCAAGGCCCAGCGGCACCACAGGTCTGTGAGGGGCACCAGCGACCTAGCAGGGGCACCAGTCAACACAGGTCTGCCAGGGGCGCCACAGACCTGCCAGGGGCACCACAGACCTGCCAGGGGCACCAGAGGCCTGGCAGGGGTACCACCGGCCTCGCAGGGGCACCTTGGGCCTGTCAGGGGCACGACGGGCCTGCCGAGGGGCACTTCAGACTTTTCAGGGGCACCAGTCCTCTCCGGGCGCAGGGGCACCAGAGGCCTGCCAGGGGCACCAGCGGCCTAGCAAGGGCACCAGAGGCCTGCCAGGGGCACCACAGGCCTAACAAGGGCACCACGGGCCTGTCAGGGGCACCTCAGGCTTGTCAGGGCTCAGGGACACCACAGTCCTTCCAAGGGCACCGCAAGCCTGTCAGGGGCACCAGAGGCCTGCCAGGGGCACCACAGGCCTAGCAAGGGCACCTCTGGCCTGTCAGGGGCACCTCAGGCTTGTCAGGGCCCAGGGGCACCACAGTCCTTCCAGGGGCATTACAAGCCTGTCAGGGGCACCAGAGGCCTAGCAAGGGCACCACAGGCCTGCCATGGACACCACAGGCCTGCCAGGGGCACCACCGGCCTTGCAGGGGCGCCTCAGGCCTGTCAGGGGCACCACGTGCCTGCCGGGGACACTTCAGGCTTGTCAGGGGCGTTACAGTCCTGTCAGGGCCCAGGGGCACCAGGCCCGTGGTGTCCCTGCTAGGCCTGTGGTGCCCCTGGCGGTCCTGTGGTGCCCCTGTCAGGACTGTGATACCCCTGATAGGCCGGTGGTGCCCCTGGAAGGTCTTTGGGCCCCCGGGCCTCAAGGGGGGGGGCCATGACCCATGTGACCCCCCCTTGGATCCGCCCCTGCGAGGAAGGATGAGAGAGTGAGGGCTGATGCTATGGCTCCTAAGGGATGCTGGGTAGGGTGAGAGCTGATGTTATGATTCCTGATGGGCTACGGACCGACGTAATGAATGCTGCCACAAAAGAGAAGTGAACATAGTGCGGATCTTGGAATAGAAAAATCCCGACAAGACTCTCTCCCGAGAGAAATTCCCGAGAGACGACGAGACAACGTTATGTTATTATGACGGGCGCGCAGGCTCAGTGCTTACCTCTGTCCACAGTGATTCGACGCGCTGCATGAGCTTGTAGTCCCTCACTGGGTTGCTGGGCTGAAGCATCGGGTTGTGCTCACGGTACGTTTCCAAATAACTGCAATGGAGGGCGAAAGGGTAAATTAGTATGGAAGCATTTTTATTATTGAGGAAGCAAGACAACTTCAACTCCGCTTTCCTTCGTACAAGTTAGCGCTAGTGAAGCTCGGTAACTGTCGTTTGTACGGGCTACCACAATTGACCTACTTCAATCAGGTTTTGTTTTCTACCTACCCCGCAATGGTCAGTCACCACCCACCGTTTGGCTAGCTCCAGCTTGCTCTCCGACAGTTGAACAAACTTCTCCAGTTCCTTCACTATGTTCTGTTCGGCCTGGAACAGTCTGTCGAGTTCCAGTGCACTGGCTGTGAGCTCTGAGAGTGCCTCGGCGCGAACGGAGGGTATCAGCGGCTGTAGCACCAGCGACGACAGGAAGGAGATCACGAGCAGCGCAGACAGGCTGCGGAGGAAAGACGGGCACGCGTCCATCGTGCTCCTGTGAGGAGGAACAGAATTGTTAGGAGAGCCGACCCTCACTCCTAAGTCCTAATATCGGAACTCCGTAAGCAAAAAACGGACCAGCCTTACATAATGTTCATCGATCTTACTGAAGAAAATGTTGCAGTGAAGGCTTCACACGTCGGTGGCAAACACCAAAGGGAGAGACTAAATTACCGCGTTGTGCTGCACGTGGTCATGAACGCTGTCCCCATTCCCCACTGACCCACTAACCGTTTCACGAATAATCCGTCAGACCAGCTTGCAGCAGCCTTCAATCACTTCTCACTGTGACTCGCCGTGTACCTCTCGTCGCCGGCGACGGACCCACCCTGTTCCGATCTCACCGTCCTGCCGCCACTGCCCGCGATCTCTCATCTTCTCTGGTCGGCCGCTGACCCTCCGCTCAGTCGGCCGCCGGCCAGTCACTCGGACTCGGCTCACAGAGCCCCGAGGCGCCGGCCGCCGCCGCGCGCCGCCCGACCGTTGACCGTCAGCCGGAGCCGAGAAGCGCGGCCAGTCGCCGTCGCTGCCGAGCGTCGACTTGGTCAGGGGTCACGCACCGTCGGCGCCGAGATGTGACCTTGAACCAGACTTGCTAACGGGACGCCGCTCTTCCGCGGTCAACGCTCATTGTTGACAACTGAACTTGCTCTGTTTCCATGTCATAATCATCCATCTTACCCTGCTTGTGTGAAGCACGAAGTCAAGTCAAAATAGTAGATCAACAGAACTATATGTAGAAGACACTTCTTTCAACATTCACATCTGAGACGAGTTCTGGATACAGATAACCTATAAAGCATTTCAGAGCATGGCCTTATTTCTAATTGGATTGGCTGTATAAGTGTACCTGTAAAGTGTCTTGGAGTAATGGTCCACTCCAGTCTCCGCGGCGCTGCACATAGGTACATACAGCCGGCGGCGCATGGTACTCCTACAGGTGAACGTCCTACCGGGCGCGGCGCCCTACGCGACTCTGCCCCGGCGCCCTATCCCGGTGCTCTGCCCCGGCGCCCCGCCCCGCGACTCTGCCCCGGTGCTCTTTAACGTCGCCCTGGGCGACTCTGTCCTGGCGCTGGTTCGTCACCCGGTACCCACTGTTATAGGTATACCTTTCGGCGAAATCTTGGACGAATAAACAACTTTTCAATAACACTAGTATAGGTCCGTGCGTCGGCCGAACGACGAAAAAAAGTTCAATGTCCTAAGCACGCGGTGCTGAAGATCGGGCACCGAAAATTCAGTCCGTAGCGACCGCTACAACAGAAAAACTACACACTGAATTGGTGTGTATATTCAGGCGCGCACACAGAATTTCTCAATGGGAGGGGCACGACCTGCGAACTGGCCCCCCCCCCATGCCGAAAGGCCCCCCCCCCAAAAAAAAAACGGACTACGGGGTTGTATTACGGATGGCCTGAAGCTTGAGGTTTTGGCAATGTAAGGTAAAACAATTATTTCGGACCGGTATGTTTGCTTGCATGTTTTATTCAAATGTGACTCAGAGTCGGTGCATATAACCAATCATCTCAGTTATTACGTAAAACATTCAATTAATCAGCATTTTTGCAAGCCTCTCAGAAATCAGCCCCGGACAGCGACTGACTGCCGGCCGGACGACCGTCCCCGGGTGGCTAGAAGTGGGGGCCGGTCACTGTTTGGCCCGAACGTCTAAGAGCGGGAGCAGCACTCCTTTTTCACATACCTATATTCGGTATATTCGCATATCTATTTAGGCACATCGACATGAAATGTCATTAGGCATACCGTATATCTGATACGATGCGAGATCACAGACCAGAGATCCAGCTTATAACTTATTTTGAAGAAATAGTATGCAGTGCTCGAGCGAGGAACATCTTGATATACATATGTAGTTAGGATTTCAAATGACATTTCCTCGGTAATTAATTGGCAATGCAATAAAAAGCAATTATTATATTGCTTGGCATATAATATAATAATTGCTTTTTATTGCATTTCCAATTAATTATCAAGGAAAAGGTCATTTGAAGTCCTAACTACATACATAACTTATTTTCAATGTTTAACCAATGAATCAAATCAACAGGACTATGTACAGTAGGTCTACTAAAAAAGTCCCCCGCTCCAGAGGCGGCCGGCCGGCCGAACCCCCGGATTCCAGCCCCGACTTTATTGCGCAGGCCGCGGCAGCGACACGGGTCAGGTCGCGGCGCCCGGCGAGTGGGTCAGTGCCCAGTGGGCGGCGGCCGGCCGTGGAGTGAGGACGCAGTGTGTGGGGCGCAGAGATGCTGCAGTGCAGAGGAGGGGAAGATAATGACTCTGCACGATGCCGGAAATGATGCCTTTGTGATCTAAATTAAACACCTGCAGTGCATATCCTCCCTTGCCCCATTCCTATTTTATCATAATCCTTCAATAATCCGTAATGGCCATTCAACGCAAGCAAGCAAACAAAACAACCCGTTTAGCAAACAACATCATCTCGGATAAAAAAGCGACAGTGATGATTAGAATAGACTTAGCGCGAGGGCAAATCGAGGGGTATAACTATATGTATCACATACCGATTATTTTATTCCCATCTAGCGAATTAAGATCGGGGATCTTGTCCAACAAGTCGTGGCCGTTCTAGACACAGATAAATGCTTTGTTTTCGGTCACATCATTAGCTGCAATAATTCGAAGCGAGGTTTAACCCTCGCCGGCCGAGAAGAAGGGGTGGATGCAGCCACCATGTATTTTTTTTTGCGGTAGCTCAAAGCACAATGATGATAGAAGGCTGACATTTCACATGCCTTACATTTCATTCAAGCCGGATCACTTGACATCAACCACGTTTTCCGGTCAGGTCACTTAACTATGACGTCTTAAGTAAACCTCTGCACGGTTGTCGGTTATAAAATGATGCATCCGCAATGCACTTAGTGTCATATAAGCATAATGGGGAATTATGGAAACTGTTAATTTGGCGTCGGAAATGATCTGAAGCTATACCTTAAGCACATGAAATCGTGACGTCATACATTCTTGGCAAGGTCTAATGCTTCACTTTTGCATTGTTCACCTTGCGTGACGTCATTTATGACGTCACTAGGGTCATACGAGTGCTTCGTCAATAACTCCCGATCAAAATGAGCTAGCCAGTCGGGACAGCCATCAATGGACTTTGCAAGACTTGCCGAATCAAACGTTATGCAACATGTCCTCCTTTCAACAGCTTCGTGGCCTGCGTTGCTCTAACATGACATTGACCTGAGGTAAACATCCTAAATTGCTTCACCTAAACAAAAAAACATATAAATCGAAGCGTCTGAGAACAGAAAACACGATTGTATCGAAATGACGATAATGCGTTTAGTTTTTTTACCAAAAACCGATCAAATGCCTTGGGGCCCTTGACCTGCCCTAAGAGGTCACAGATATTTTAAAATGGGGTACCAGTCGCTGCGTCACGCATCGACGCAAGCGCTCGTTTTTTCCGCGAGGCTCTAGCAGCTAGCTCAATTATAGGAGCTAAACATGGGGTCGGGGAATCGCTCCCTTCTCACTCACTTTTTGGCCGGGGTAGTGTTTGCAATTATTGCTAAAATCTATCATTTTAAGATTTCAAACGACCCATTTTTTCCCGCCCAAGTCTTTCAATTCAAGGTCATAACACCAGGGCCCTGTTCATGAAGTCTGCGGTCGCTGCGGCCGGCCGCAGGTTCTAAGCCCCGCCCATTTTTGAAACGTCATCACTCACTCAGCCGCAGCAGCGTTCCATGAACAGCGCCTGCTGCCGAAATAGTTTCCAACAATTGTTTACAACTGACGCACACCGCTAGATAATTTGTTTACAAAATCGTCTCCATGACAACACGGCTTGCGCCTATTTGACTTCAGTGCGCCAAGTTCAGTGCAATTAATTTTCTTGCGGCTCGGCGGTCGCTGGATTGCGGCCGCAGAGATCGCAGCGGCCGCAGCAAGGTGACGTCATACATTCGTCATACTACATGAGCCCCGCCCCTTTTCGTGACGTAACAACCCGGCTGACCGCTGCGACCGCAGCGGCCGCAGCGACCGCCGGGGTTCATGAACAGGGCTCAAGTCACGTCAAGTGACCTTACCTCAAGGAAAGTTCCTGTGCTCATCATATCTAAATACACCGACTATCCGATCGCTTCAGAACTTTCAGCGATTTTCATGGGCAACAGTATATGTATTTGAAACGTTTACTTTGCAAGTTTGACATTGTTGACAGAAAGCCCGGGTCAATTTTGAGATCGCTCAAGTCAATGGGAGAAAATTGAACTGCGCTTTTTTTGGACGGAACGCATAATAAACACTCTGAAAACATGTGGTACTTGATGAGATACAATACTGAATGAGAAAATTGTTTGTTTTGTTGGGGGCCATCTTTTTCGGTCTGAAAAGGCCCTTGCGGAGCTATGACATAACTATGCTCTGGTGTAGTAATTGGGTTGTGCGAGCCAGCGACAGTGATCTGCGGAAGCGAGACTGTTCCCGTGGGACGATTGCCCTGTCGGGACGGTCCAGCCGTCTCCCAAACGGTCACCCGAAGAGGATTATGTGTCCTGGAATGGATCCGACATGAACTACAGGTTGGCTGGTGGGGTGACCTCCAGTCCAGAGAGGGAAGCATGAAGACTAGGGGCGATGCGGATTAGTTTTTCCTGAGGTTAGCGAGGACGGAAGGAATCTAGCACCCTTGAACCTTCCTTATATTGAATGTATCTCAGGCTGTTAAATCTCCTAAGCGTTTTTCCTCGACATCGTCAAGGTGTCATTAACAAATATATGAAATCCGGGAGGATACAGTAAATATAGAAATTGTGGCCAACAGAACATTATCAGTTGCGTTCAAGTTTCAACATACTCGTAAGCATGTTCACACACACCCAGCTTACATATGAGCCATGTAATAATTATTTTTGATAGACATGCTTAAGTTATGAAATCATCTGAAGTGTTTGCAAAGTTCCACGATACGGATCTGATATCCTGCTATGCATTATGACCATTTCTGGTCAGGTCATGTCTTTGAACATAGGCCAAATTTTTCAAATGACCTTTAAAGATCAACTTTTGATTCATTCGAAGCGTTTTGATAAGAGGAACACGAGGCTGGTAAAATTAATTTCATGCAAGTTTTAAGCTAAAAACTTTTAAGTGTTTGTGGAAAAGCAATTGGTTTTCTCATAATACCGATGGTGGCAGTTGTTGTTATTTACATGCTAAGCAGTTTACCTTAATTAAATCTGACAATATTATTCAGACATAGCGGTCAACGAGCTGATTGTTGTGTTAGGTTAGGCTCTTTCGGTCGATTTCAGAGTGGGAAGGATGATATGAATTAGGGGGAGACAGGGGGCCTGGGCGGGAGTCCTGGACCTC